TTTTGGTAAAGACAGTTACAGTTGAACCCCTAAACCCTCCATTCTAGACCTGACACAATTGAGCCATCCACTCTGCACTCTACACCTCGCACCCTTGAGCCCTGAACCCTACAACCCTGCACTTGAAGCCCGAAAACACCACCAAAACCCCTCCCTTAAACCCTAAGCCCTGCATCCCCAGCCCGAGTTGGCATCCTATCATTCCTTTTTATCACCCCAAACCCCTAAACCTTAGACACTCAAGCCGTACAAGCCCAAAATAAAGCCCCACGCACCTCCCCTCCCTCTAACAATATAAAGCCCTGCACCTCCCTTACATCCTATATTTCCCTAGATCCCCACCTGGAGTTGGCATCCTATCTATCTTCCTATATGCACCAAAGAACCCCTGAACCTTACTACGTTAAGCCCTAAACCCCCTAAACCCTAAACCCCAAACCCTTAAACCCAATTAATTTCCCTAAACCCTTAAACCCTAAACCCTAACTCTAAACCCCCAAAACCCTACATCCCCCGCCTGGAGTTGGCATCCTCTCTTCCGACTCCGTCCTGCGAGGCGGCGCTTTGCTGGACCTCCGGGGGCTCTGCTCAAATCTCGCCGGTCTCTCAGACCTCCCAGGGCCGTAGGGCTTTCTATTGTTTAGGGTTTAGGGTTTAGGGCTGCTCAAATCTCGCCGATCTCTTAGACCTCCCAGGGTTACGTAAGGCTTTCTGCTATGTTTTGTGGCTGTAGACTTTAGGGGTTTTAGGGCTGTTTTATCTGAGCCTCTTTTTTCTGTCAGCATCGCCGGAATTAGGGTTTTAGGCTTTATGGCTTCAGGTTTAAAGCTTTAGGGGGGAGGGTTTAGGGCTTAGGGCTTCGGGGTTTCGGGTTTAGTTTCGTGAAGAGATCTAGGTGCGGTTGTGTAGGGTTGTGTGCTTTTTAAGCTACGGTCTTTCATGTGAAGCTTTTTGAGGTCGTACAGGGGTGTATGGGTTTTGCGAGCAAGGTAAATGATGGGCTCTTATAATGCAAGGCTTCAGAAGGGCATGGAATTCTATAAGGGTTCCTTTGAAGCTTCTGTGGGCTTCGGAGGTCCATTTAGGAGTTGCCGTGAGGCTTTGCATGATCGACCTTGCAAGCGTTGCTTTACAGGCATCCCAGGGGTTTTGGTGTGAGGGCAACTTCAGGCGTACCGTTAGAGGCTCTACTTGGAGGATCATGGGACTTAGTAAGTAAGGTTATAAGTCCCTTAATTGGGGGTTATAAGTAAATATAAATATAGTTACCTTAACTATAACCCTACTTACTAAGTCCCATGATCCTTTAAGTATTGGGTGCTCAAGGAGCTGCTCCGGCTCCTTGGTTTCTGGCTGCAAAGCTTTGGAATCTCTCCAGGGTCCTATTCAGTTTGTGAGGTTTCCGGTCTCGCCGATCTCAACCCTAAACCCTACCTGTAACCGAAAAGACCTACGTTTTTAGGGTTCCTTATTTTGGTTTCTATATAATGGTTCATTAAAAAGGTAGGTCTTTCTCGCTACAGGTAAGCCCTAAACTCTGAACCCTAAACCCTAAACCCCTATAAACCCTGAAACCTAAACCCTAAACCCCTAAACCCTGAACCCTAAACCCCTAAACCCCTATGAACCCTGAACCCTCAACCCCTAAACCCTGAACCTCCAGCCTCTCCGACCTCTCTCCCCGGCCAGGCTCGGAGTGATTTCCCCTCTTCGGCATCACGCGGATAATCGTGTCCCCACCTCAGAACTTGCTCAGGCAATAGGTTTTGAGAAGCACAAACCATACATAATAGTCAGAAATACAAAAAGCATACATTACGAAAAAGCATGCAAAAATACATTAGACAATAAATACATGCAGAACTCATTGGGCAAATATGACAAAACAACCTACCTGTATCTCGATCTACAGTAGTTTCTGGGAAAGACCAAAAGATGAAAATCCAATAGCCTCAACCCGCAATTGAGAGTAATGTAGAGAGATTCCCAGCACGAATTATCCTACATCCGGTTTCCAACTTTTTGGGGTGTACTCTCCCTCCCTCTCTATCTTTCTCATGCATAACAGGAGCGCGTCTGCTGGAGCTCGAATCGCAAATGCACCTGGTCTTCGTGGAACATGTGGACCCTCAGTGCATGGAGAATTTCTCGGCGCGATACTCCTTCGCGATGACCCCACGTCTCCATCAAGTCCGTCAGCGAGAAAGAGCCTCTTCTTGGAAGCGGAAAGAGACACTGAAGATCGGGATTCCGGCAAAAACTCTATGACTCCGTACAATGTGGGAATCCGGACAATCCAGACAGGGTTCAAACTTGAAGCCCATTGGTAACCCCTTGTAGTAATTCTTACAGACACCCGGAAGCATCCGTAAACCCTAAGCCCCTAAACCC